TCTATCAGGTGAAGAAGCAGCCGATCGTGCACAACCTGTACAGGAAGGGGCAGCAGAGGAGGCAGCAGAGCCACCGGCCGAGCGGCCACAGCGAGCAAAACCTAGGTGCAGCATGTGCGAATCAACAGAACACAATGCACGTACGTGCCCTAGGCGGCAGGCAGCTAGCTAGTATGTAGCTGCATCAAATATATTTGTTCGTGGTGGAGTAATTCGGAATATTTGGCCTCGGTAGCGTGGTTGGGTGGGCCACTAGCTTGTGCGGGCCACTAACTTGTGGATTACGTTAGTGATATTCTGGAATTTTAGTAAGCTTCTACGGGTTAGATAACACTGTTTGTTTGTATTATACGGTAGCAGAAGCTTAATAGTGGTGTTGTAGGGAAGGAACTCTGTTTCGCTAGAAAAGAAGGCTCTGTATAAATCGGCTGGGAGGCGACAATGCGTGACGTATTTTTTAGTTAGAAGGGGTTATAGATGTTAAGGAATAGCTACAGTATATAACCTATAAGAAGTTGTCGCGAATTTGAACAAATACACAGATTTTGAGTTGCTTGAAGTTGAAGTACCCCTCATATTTCTCGGCGCGGGGTGTTTCTCGACCCGCAGTGACGGACGTTAGTTCGGCAATGGCAGTACAAGCAGCAAAGATGATCCTCAGGACAGGACTGCTGGGGCAGTTCCGGATGGTCCCGTCCACAGCATTTACCACATAATATCGACGAGCGATTATAGGCACACAGAAGCAGAGGAGGGCAAGGAAAGGCCTGACAAGTGCATAGATACAGAACAGGTAGAAAGACTATGGGTATATACGCAACCAGTTCTAGATGGAGCCTGTTTAACACCGGGAGGATTCCTAGGGAGCAGCCGGCTTAAGAAGCGGGAGCATATGTATTTATAGTTGAACGCTGCATAGCCGCCACTAGCGGCTGGGACAGCCTATAAACCAATCAATCAATCAAGCCATTTGTTCTAGGGACGACGAGCTCCCACCTCCACGTGGTGTCCGCTGGGAACTCTCAGAGAAACAGTTCGGCTGTCTCTGAGTGCTAGGAGGAGCTCATCATCAATAACACGGTTATCCTCCTCGAGCGACGCGTCGACGCGCCGAAAATCGACCTCCGAGCCTCACGAAACACCAAACATTACAGCCACAGTATGGTAAAGGGAGTTGCGCCCCTTTAATGTACGCCCCACGATGGAGAATAGACTTGGGTACTCTATTTTCCTGCCCGACAACAGTTTACGGCTTCGCAGATCCAGGAGTACGCGCCTAAGACGCGGAGCGAAAGGGACGGACCAGACCGAATCAACAAACACCACGACCACCAACAGCAGCGAACCAACCTTCAAGAACACGATCATCCTCTGTCTACAACGCGCCGACGCGTTAAAGTCAACCTCCAAGCCTCACGAAACACCAAACATCACAGCCACAGTACGGTGAAGGGAGTTGCCCCTTCCAAGTACGCCTACGATGGGAGATGGACTTGGGTACTCCATTTTCCTGCCCGACAACCGTTTACGGCTTCCGAGATTAACGAGAGCGCGCGTGGGCCAGGACGCAAAGAGAGGAAATGGTCAAGCACTTTATATTCCCCAAAATACAGTGCTCTACAAACGGACGAGTCTACACACAACAAACAACAACAACACCACCAACAGCTTCGAACATATCTTCAAGAACACACCACATCGAACAGTACAGTCAGCTTGCAGGCCAAATTAGCGATGCTCAAGGCATGGCCTCAAGCAAACACCGACCGGGAACACATCAACGAGCAAGCCACACACACCACCACCACTACAATTACGGTCACATCGGCACTCAATATAACGGTACAAACACACAGCTATTGCTCTAGGTAGCACAAGACTCGGTAGCATGGCAATAGCAGTACAAGCATTCAAGAAGATACTCAGGACGAGGCTCCCCGGGCCTGCCGGACAGCCCCATCCATAGTGCTCAAATTTCAGCGTTGACGAGTGATATAGTCATACAGAAGTCGAGGAGGGCCAGGAGAGGCCTGACAAGTGCAGAGATACAGAACAGCTATTAGGGCTATAAGTAGAGGGGCAACCGCGGAGGAGGAGAAGGGAAGCAATTCTGACCAGGAAGAGCTTGTTTTTCGAAGGACGGGAAGGGGGAGCACCTGTATTTATAGCCGTACGCTGCATAGCCGCCACTAAGGCGGCTGGGACAGCCTATGACGTAATCAATCAATCAATCAATCAATCAATCAATCATATTCTGTTCTAGCACACATTCTGTTCTAGAACACTTGTCCTGGGACGCATTCTGTTCTAGTCCATTTGTTCTAGGACATATTCTATTCTAGAACACTTGTTCTAGGACGTATTCTGTTCTAGCACACATTCTGTTCTAGAACACTTGTCCTGGAACGCATTCTGTTTTAGCCCATTTGTTCATATTCGATAGATGGATTGATTGATTGATTGATTGATTGGTTCATAGGCTGTCCCAGCCGCCCTAGCGGCAGCTATACAGCGTTCAACTATAAATACAGGTGCTCCCACATCCCGCTTCCAGAAAATAAGCCCTTCCTGGTCAGAATTGCTTCTCTATTAGCTGTATATGAAACCCCCTGTACGTATAGCCCTTATAACTGTTCTGTATCTCTGTACTTGTCAGGCCTTTCCTTGCCCTCCTCTGCTTCTATATAACTATGATCGCACGTCGATATTATGTGGTGAGTACTGTGGACGGGACTGCCTGGAACTGGCCTAGCAGTCCCGTCCTGAGGATCATCTTTGCTGCTTGTTCTGCCATTGACGAACTACAGAGGATGCGTTTGATGTTCACACACGGTCGCTTGCCTGCCCACATCTCGAGTCGTTCGTCTGCCCAATCTCTGCATTCGAGCAGGATATGCCGCACTGTCTGTGCTCCGTACCCGCACTGGCATTGCTCGGTATCGGTCTTGTTGATAGTGTGGAGGTATGCGCGGAGGCCGATCTTGCCTGTTCGCATTTGCGTAATCGCCGAGCTGATCGCTCTGTGTTTTCCCGCATGGGTCTTGAGAGTTGCCTTTCCCGGTTGTACCCCAAGTTTGTAGAGGTCTCTTCCATGTTTGGCCTTCGCCCAGGATTGCGTCCATTCGGTCTCTATTGTCTTGCGGATGGTGGTCTTTGTGGTTGCCATTAGTATCTGTAGGGAATCCGGCTCCGGTGGTGCTTCGGTGCGGATATATATGTTCGGGTTGTGGCCGGCTGCTTCCTTCGCTGCTCGATCGGCTGCTTCGTTTCCTGGTACTCCGATGTGTGCGGGAATCCATCGGAACTGGATTTCCTATCCTTGGTCTCGCAGCGTGTCCAATAATTGTATGGCTTTGATGAGGATGTATTGTCCGGAGGCGCAGGTAGGGTTTTGTATCGCTCGGAGGGCCGCCTGGTTATCGGCGAATATCGCACATCTTCCGGGGCTGGTGCTTGCTGTGTTGACGTCGAGTATTATTTGCAGGGCCAAGACCAGGCCCCTAAGCTCTGCTGCGTACACCGTGGAGGTGGAGGATGGTCCTATGTATTCTCTCCGTTCGGCATGGAGCACGGGTGCTGTTGCAGCTGCGCCAACGCGGTCGTCGATGCCGCTTCCGTCGGTGTATACGCATATTGTCCCAGCTTCTATGGCATCGTGTTCCCTGATGGCTTCCTCGTCGGACTGGTTGATGCAGACGAATGGCGGGTTCCACCACGGCGGCACTACGTGTGGCTGGCGCTTCTTGAATCGATTAAGCTGTATGTTATACTTACGTTTTAAGATGCCCGAGAGTTGGTCGAGCGGGCTCCGAGCGTTCTTCTCGCGGCGGTTCCTTGGTGACATGCCGGTGGTCTCCGATTGGGTCATATCTATGAATACAGGGCTGGTTCTGATGCGCATCACTGCTTCTAGTGCAGTCTTCTCGAGCTGCTGTCGTCCAGGGAGTAGGTGGGCTTCGACGTCCACCGCCGCTCCCGCGGTTGTCCGGAACGCGCCAGTGATGATCTGGGCTGCCCTCCTCTGCACTTTCTCGATAGCGCTGACCATGCACGCCCCTCTGCTTGTGCGGCCTTTGCCGGGGATGTGCCATGCCGAACAGCTATATATTATCTGAGGTATGATTATTGCTCTATACACATGGCGGAGGTTAACCATCCCCGTTCCCCAGGTTGAGGATGCTAAGGCTGATAGGGCCGAGAGACGTTTTGTTGCTGCTGCTTCGATCTTCTCGCGATGGTGCTCCCACCGGAGTTTGGTGTCCATGTGGATACCCAGGTATCGGCACGATGGGGAGGCATTGATCGTGGCGTGTGGCAGACGGAGGGCGTGAGTGCTGTTTGCCTGAGGGTCTCTCGTAAAGTGCACAAGCTCGTATTTTGCCGGTGCAAACTGGGAGCCATGCGTCTTTGCCCATTGCTCCGCCTGTCGGTGGATGCCTTTGAGAGTTTTACAGTTGCGTTGCGCTGTCGGGCCCGTGGCTAGTATCGATACGTTGTCAATGTATCCCACTGCTTCCGTCTCCTCTGTTTTGCATGCCTCGATTAGGTCGGCGTTATAGAACAGATATAGAATTGGCGAGACGGGTGATCCCTGCGGAATCCCGGTTTGGATGGGGGCCGACGGGGCGGTGTATTCTTGTAGCTTAAGGGTAGTAGAGCGGTTGCTTAGGAAGCTCTCTGTCTATTGTACGATGTTCTGGCTAACTCTACGTTTTCGAAGGTTGTGAAGAAGTCGGTCTCGCGAGACGTTGTCGTATGCTCCGGACACGTTAAGCAGTAGCAGGGAGGCTACCTTGCCTTCGGACTATGCCTGGTGTATCCGTTGGAGGAGAAAATGCATGGCATGCTCTGTCAACGCGAGTTTCCGGCCTCCCGTGTGTCGGCTTGGGAGAAGTTAATGTATGTCAGCGAGATATGCGAGTCGGTTCGCAATTATAGCTTCCAGCGCCTTTCCTAATGTATTTAGAAGGGCGATTGGCCTATACGATTTTGGCTGCGTATAGTTGTCCTTTCCCGGCTTTCGGAGGACTACTGTAATTATATTCTTGAAATGCGTGGGACAGTAGCCGTGGTGGAGGCATGCGTTGAAGAGCTTGCTGAGGCTTGGAAGGAGAATGTCGAGCGTTTTATAGAGGATGCCGTTGGTGATGCCGTCGTCTCTAGGGGCCTTGTTCGGGGCGGCTCTGCGGATTGCTTTCTCGATCTCTGGTGTGGTGATGTCCGGGCACTCGATTGGGGGAGGGTACGCGTACCCTTCGAAGTCCGAGAGGTCGGCTTGAGGTGGCGGGGGGAAGAAGGACTGGCGGAGCACATCGGCCTTCTCTTCGGGCTGGTTGGCGAGTTCTCCGTCCGGTTTCCTCAGCGCTGGGGTGCATGCAGACGATGGGTTATGTCTATTCTTGGCCCATTTAACCAGCTTCTAAAGGCCCGACTGTAACTCCGATGCCTCTTCTACTCTCTGTTAATAGGTATGACGGAGGCTCTTATGAATATATCGGCCTTTCTTATTGCGCGCCTGTTGGTAGGCCTCGTAGTCATCGTCCTGCCTTGTTCGCTGCCACTTCCGGCGGAGCTGTTGGACTTCTGTGCAGACGTCTTTGCATTCCTGGTTAAACCCAGCGGTTGATTGAGGGGACGGGTTAGACTATGGTGTGGATGCATCGATGCCTGCATTAAGGGCTTTGACGATGGATGAGACCAATACGTTGATGTTGTCTTCGCCTCTAATCTCGGTCTCAGATATCTGGGGGAGACGTTCCTTGACCGTTTGTCGCAGTGTTGTTACATCCGTCTTTGCCTATAGGCGCTTTCTTGGGGGTGCTGTTTGTTGCCAGCTCCAGTCGATCGCTATAGCAATTAGAAGGTGGTCGGAGTCGCAGTCTAGCCCTCTGTCTATCTTGCAGTAGGTTACCCGCGGTGCCAGTTCCTCTGAGGCGAAGGTAAGGTCTATTATTGAGTCTCCATCTTTCCATCGGTGAGTCGGGGTCCCAGGCGCTGTTAGGAGTTGTAGCTGGAAATCCTCGATTATCGTGAGGAGCGGTTGGGCGTTTAGCCCCGTCCCGGCGCGTCGGTGTGCTGCTGACTAGAGAGGGTGGTGGAGGTTGAAGTCTCCAAGTACGATAGTCTCCTTAAGCGAGTCTAGTTTTCCAATAGCGTTGGCTAGTTCGGGGAGCGTGTCGGTTGTCACTTCGTTGTATACGTTGAAGATATGAATATTTTTGCCGGTATAAGGGTTAAGGACCGCTAGGGAGGTGATATCCTTGGTGATGTACAATGCGGTCTAAGTGCTAGGGTTGATGCGTTTGTTAATATAGAAGCATACCCGTATGCCGGCGTTGTTGAGGTACGTTAGTTGGAAATGCGTTTTGAGAGGGTGGTAGGATATGGCAATGAATGGGTTACGCCAGGGCTCCTGGATTGCTAAGATGTCGTATTTAAGTACCTTTGGGTTTTGGAATAGGCTGGCAAGGACGATATTTCTTGACTTCTGGACGTTGTACTGTAAAATGCGTAGTTCCTGGTGTCCTAGCATTGATCTGGTGCGGCGTCGGCACTGTATGTGGGGGATCGGCTTCGAGCCGCGCGGGTTCCTGTTCGGCGGGATGGGGACTTCGGGGTTATACTTTTCCAGCTGGGGGTAGATGTACTGGTTCTTCCTTGTGTCTCTTGGCATACTGTTAAGTTCCTTCGAGCGTAATCTACTCTCTTCTTTAGGTGTGTGCGCAATTCGGCTGCGTATGTGAAGTCTCTTCCACAGTATACGCATATCTTTATGCATCGGGCTATGGTTAGCTCGGCGTTATGTGTTGGCCAGTTATTGTAAATTTCCTGGTGCTGTAGGCAGTCGCATTCTTTGTAGATGTTTCCTTTTGTTGTACGGGTGTCTGCTACTATCGAGGTTGGTGGGGATCTCGTGGTCTCTGCTATATCGTGTGGCCAGTCCCCTTCGAACTCGTTTACTAGGTTAGCCAGCCACGCGTCGGCATCTTGTATACCAAAGTCCTCCTGCGTATCGTCGACGGGATACGGGGGTAGCTAGTTTGGCGAGTCGGCCGTGGGCGTTGCTTTATTGGTCTCCGGGCTGGGGGTGGCGTTCGCTGTTTGAGCGACCGTCTGCGATTGTTCAGCTGTCAACAGCCTGGGGTCGATGGTCGGTTCCTGTAGCATTATGTCTTGTTGTGTTGCTGGTGTTGTCTATTCTTCTGCGGCTGACAGATTGCCGGGTGCATATGTATCTGTTGTTCCTAAGGGTGTCAGGGGTTCCAGAGTAGTCTCTCTCGCCCGTGATATTGGGGCCTCTGGAGTGGTGGGTGCTTGGCCTGAGGGCTCCCTTGTGGGGGAGTCTAGTACTGCAATGGTCCGGCGGGCTGCGATGTTTCGAGTGTGGCGATGCGTTTTCCGTACGCTGTTCTCCTTAGGGGGGTCGTCTTTTAACAGAACGTGCCAGTAGGTGCTCCGAGCCTGTTTGGCTTGCTCAACTCTGTCCATCTCTTTCTTTCTTGCTAGGCAGGCGTTGCTCCAGGCTATGTGGGCACCTTTGCAGACTGCGCATGTAGGGGTAAAGCTTTCTACTCTTTTGTGCTTGCAGTTCTTGGTTTCATGTAGTTCAGCGCAATAGCCGCATCTTTGCGCTGCATCGCATTGGGCGCCGATGTGACCGTAATTGTAGCAGCGGAAGCATTGCTTTACTCTGCAGGCCCGGTCGTAGAGTTGGCAGATGTGAATTTGTCCTTCCCAGGCCATTCCCGCATAGATGATAGCGTTGGCCATTTCGGGGTCTTTGAATTCTATTACAATCGAGGATGCGCGCTTGAGGGGGGATTCTCGAGTCAGCTATCCTATAAACGAGATCTCTGCTTTAGGAATAACTGTGTAGTTATCTGCAAGTATCTGTTGGATAGTTGCTTTCTGGTCCTTAATGTTAATGGAGTTTGTAGAGATGCCGTGGACAATAACACCGTAGGTTGGTACGATAAGTTCTGCGTGTTCTCTAAGGCCGCTAATCCATCCATTATTCTCTTTGAGTTTTGTAGCTTCTGTTGTAGAAGAGGTGAAGACCTGTATATCGCCGCTCTTAAGCTGGTGGGCAGCCACGACTGTAACTGATTTGGTGGCTGCATTGTCGCGGATGGACGTCTCTATTTGATTCCTTATCTTGGCGGCAGGGAGCGTCCGAAGTCTCTGGGCAACTCCGGGGTCCTTGAGTTTTACTGTAACTGCTCGGTCTTTGTATGATGTGACTGTAGATTGGGCCTTGGTATCCTGTGTGCGCTGTGATGTTGGTGGCGGGGGTATGGGGGGAGAGCCTTTGGCGTGGGCTGCTACCTGCGCCCAGGTAGAGGCCGCGCCTTTGTCTCGGCTGAAGTTGGCTGCATGCGGCGGGGCAGTGCTCCATCCTACCGAGTTTTTGATGACTGAGATATCTCTTTGGATGTTCTGCGTGTGTTTAGCGGCATCCTGGATGTGGTGGAGTATCTCGCTCATTGCAGGTTGCCGAAGCACCTTGTGAGGATGGTTGTGAAACAATACGTTGAACGGGTTAGGTAATGTATTGAGTGAGGAACTATCTATCTTACATGCGCAGTATATATAACGTATTTCACGAGTAAGTGGGCCACCCGGGTGAGTGGGCCACCCGACCAAAAGTCGCGAGACACGACGCGTAATATAACTACAACCTTGATGATAACGCTATAACTAGCTATATTAAATATATGTGTTTATTGTTAAGTAATTTACAGTATTCGGCGTTGTGGCTTAGTAGGGTAGCCCACTGTCGCACTTTGGTGTGCATGGGGCGAAGCAGGGTTGGAAGATGATTTCAAGCAGCAGAGTATAATTCATGTGTGTGACTTGTGTGTGTCGGTCGGGTTACCCCGCCCGTTATCTATATAGCTTTAATGGCAAGCTTATTAATGCAGTTCTTGCCTCAGGCCTCTACGGCTGATGCCTTGGTCTGCGACACACCCCCCCAGATTTTACTCTGTTTCAGATAAGGTCTGACCGTCTTGTGGACTATCCTCTTCTAATGCGCATCCTAGATTAATCCGCGATAAGATATTAACTAGGCCTAGTTAGCGTATAAAGTGTGCGTGTTTCTCTGTTAAAAGGGGTTTTATAAAGCCATCTAAAGGCATGCCTGTAGTTAGAACCTACTAGACTGCAACTTTACCTCTTTAATAGATCTGCCTTAGCTATAAGCTATAGATATTAATATATTTAAGTTTTAAGGTTAACTATAGTCTTTCTTTCTAGACTAGGCCTACTATCTGCTAATTATTATAGAGAATATAAGGTTATTATTCTAGATTAAACTATACCTGTGCAAACAGCCTATATAAACTTATAGTCTCCCTTACTATATATAATAATAATAAAAGCTCTGCTTTAGTTATAGATATAGTTACAGTCTTCTATTTAGAGGACTGCTATATAATTAGTCTATTAAATAGCTTTATAAGGTAACCTTGCGTGGACTTTTAAGTTTCTAGATTATCCGCGAACAATACGTCGCTTAACAGCTGTAGCACTTTATTATCGCCTGTCTCTACTACTATAGAATTTACAGAGCCTGAGAACTTAATAGTATAGTACTTTATAGTCTAGAGATATAAAAGAACTCGATTTATATATTGCAGGTGCTTTAGTAAAGGGTTTATTATAAACTAACTTAACTAGCTGGCTGTAAAAGAAATATCTAGTTTTAATACTACTGCTGCGTATAATATTAAACCTACCTTTTCCTATATTTCTATAATCTGCTGTATAGTAGCCTGTTCTTCGAAAGGTTAGGAATAATATAATAAAGCAAGAGGTGTATAAACCATTTTTTATAACTTTTCTATCCCGTATTTAGTATAGATTTTGTTGATATATCTATCTTAGCAGATCTAAAGCTTCTTATTAATAGATTCTTGCAGGATCCTAATATTAAGGAAGGAGATTGCTTTGCTTAAATTCTTAATCCCGTATTTATTATATACTGCTAACTTAAATTGCTTAATATAGTAGACGCTTTCTTATTATATAATAATAAGGAGATTATCTATATAGAAAAACAGGATAAGGCCTATCTTGTTATTAATAAGGATATATAGTTTATCTAGGCAATAATTAAATCCTAGACTATTAAGGAATAACACGAGTTTATTAAACTATAGCTTTAGTAACTTTTACAGGCTGTAGAGCGCTTTAAGCAGTTTCTAAACCTTTCCTAGTATTCTATACCCTAGTAGACAGGCAGTATAGATTTTATTATCTATATCTGCGTTAATAAAGGCGTTCTTAAAGTTAATTTAATAATATAGAAGCCTAAACGCATAAATAAGTGCTATAAGAATATAGAAGCTCCGATACGCTCTAGTAGCTATATAGATGTTGTTAGAGATATTATATTAAAAATCGCCTCTTACGCATATTTAAGCTTTATAATAAATAAGGTAGCCGGCGGTATTAAACTTATATATAAAAACCTATTTTAATAGCAGCACCTGTTTATACTCTAGGTAATTAACAAGTTTAAAGGTTTTCTTATTTTTAAGTAACTTAACCTTAGCTTCTATAGCTTGCTTAAAGCTGTTTCTTTCTAGATAACACTTTAGCTGGTGCCAGAATTCCAGTAGTAGTATTAAGTCCTTTTAATAAGTTCTTAGAGTCTGCGCCGATGCAAATATATAGGCCAGTTATTGACCTAGTTTTACACGTTCTAGTTGCAAGGTATATACCTGTTTCTATGCCTTTTTCTGCACTTAGCGTGCAGTAAGCAGCTGCGTTAAGTTTACTATAGCACTTAAAGAATCTTGCAGTATTATACTTAGTCTTCTTAATCTAAGTAATATTAGTATAGAATATAGCTGTATATTTAGCCTATCTATTTAACTCTATATCTCTGCTGCTGTTTATATAAGTAGAGGTTATAGAAGAGGCAGGAATATTAATAGAACCTTATATTAAACTAAGTTAGGATTAATAACAGTAGTATCTTTTAATAGGTGAAGTTCTGTATTTATATTATCTAGATCGACTTTATTAATACTTATAGTAAGTGCTTATCTAGTTTTAGGAATGCTTATAGAGAGCTGTGGATTATATATAACCTTTTTATCTATCTATATATCCTAAAATATAATAATATAATCTAGATACAGGATCTAAACTTTATAGATATTAGTTGTATTTAGTTTAATAAGCTATCCCTTAATTGCCTTATCCTGCAGCTTTACCCTTATAGAACGGTCTCTTCTGTGCTTAATTAAGATATAGGCAAGGGATCTAATAATTTTAATATATAAGAGATTTAGCTTATAGCTATATACTATTTTAAAAGGTGTCTACTATTGCTTTTATTATACAGGGGTGCAATTAAGAAGATAAGTAGCATAAGCTACTATATATAGCTAGAGCTTATAGGGTAGTCTGCTTTATATATAGAGCTTGCGTGCTATAGCTATAATTACCCCCCTAGAACGCTCTATAAGGCTATTTTAATCTAGAGTATTAGGTAAAAATAGATTAAAGGTAATTCCTCTTGCAATTATAAGATCCTTCTACCGCTGGCTTAGCCCCTTCTTGCTATCCGACTAGATATATTATATAGTAAAGCCCTAGTTATTATTAGTAATAGTAAGGAATTCTTGCGTTACTGCAACTAGTTCTTCTTGCGTTTTATATAGGAGATTAAAGGAGATATAGTATACTAAATAGTTGCAGTAGAAATATACAACCTATATATTAAAATTAAATACCTCTTCTATATAAATAAGATCTAGGTGGACCTTTTTAAATAAATAGGTTCCTCTCCACGTTAGAACGCGTGAAATTTATTAGTATGCTTGCGCAAGCTAATATTTAGGACAGAGCTCTAAAGTCTGTTAGAAATTGCGAGTGCTAAGTGCTACTCCTTTAACTGCGTATAGTACTTGCTTAAGAGCTTTTTTCCTAATATACCCTAATCTAGCATACTAAATATCTATTAATGCTGTAGTAATCTAGGGCGTTTTTAACTTCCTTACTATAGCAAAGGCTTGCGCAGCTTTAGTGTATAATTCGGCTTTAAAAACGGAATCCTAAATATATAGTTTAACGACCCGGAATACGCTATATTTAGTTGCCCTAAATGCGTTTAATCTATCTAAATACTCTATCTAGCATATCCTTATATTAAAGAAGAGTTCTTACCCTTTAAAAAAGTC